CCCTGCTGAGTTGCTTAATTCAACTTCTGAACTTCTCAAGTTGACGCAAGGTATCAGCCACTGCAGCTGAAATTGGATACTTTTGATACTATCATTCTTGATATCCCTCTCCCTCCTAGGCTGCTGCTGTTAATTTGCTCATTTGCTCCATGACTTGTTAGACTTGTTAGATCAGTGGTGAACCTATGGCATGGCTATTGTTTTCTTTTGGGACAAAAGATGTTAAAGCATGTATTATTTTTAACCAAACTAAAGCCTCAGTATTCAGGTTTAATTGTAGTTTTGACAGGTTGTGATAAATAAGGTTTGGGGTTGCAATTTGGGGGATCATCTCTAAAAGGGTCACCCTCACAGGGCTAGATTCTTCTCCTTTTGTTTGTCTTTTTGGGCCAGGATCTCACTGTGCAGTTCATGATGGCCTTGAGCTCACTTTGTAGCCCAGGCTGGCTGGTCTCAGTTCACAATGATCCTCCTGCCTCAGCCTCCAGAGTGCTGGGATTACAGGTGTGCAGCACCACGCCCAGCCAGGACTAGATTATTCTGAGTGAAGGCTCTTCTGCCCCACTTGTCTCACTGGCTCAGGTGTGAAGCTTTTCGCAGTTGCCCCTGAGGTAGGGATGAGGGTCTTGGCCTTGGCAGTCACTCTGGACCTGCAGGAGTCTCTGAGTGTATCTTTCTTTGGTCATACTCAGCTGGTAAGCTCCACTAGCAGGAATGCTCCTCCAGTTGTCTTTAACAAACAGGTTCCGTCCTGCAAGCTGGCTGGCCTACAGCTTAGCATGTGTCCAGTGGCTCTGCAGAGCTACAAATAACCCTCCCTCATGGTCCCCCTGGTTTCTGAGTGTTTCCTCATGCTTATACTCTCCAGGCACTGCCCCAGATGAAATGATTGGCTTTGGGAATGTACTGTGTTTGTGTGTTAAAACTTGCTTTTTCCCAGGCAGTCTCCAAGCCATAGTTTTCCCACTGGTAATGAGCACAGTGGCTGGCTTTTCTCTGAGTGGCATTTTGTTTAAGGACCTAAGAGGTGAGTGGGAGGGAAAAAACAGTAGCCTGACATTATCTTTACCTGCTTCTCTAGAGGTAGCACCAGTACCTTAAAGAGCCAAAGGCAGGGTGCTTGGAGCACTTTTCCTCAGCAGCCCTACACCCAAGATAGAACCTCTGGCCAACCACAGAGGCCTTGAGCTCACTTTGTAGCCTTGGCCAGTGTGGAGGAAAGTTCTTGTCATTCAGCCTTCATGCCCAACACTTCTTGGCCTCAGCAACAGCTAAGTAGGAAGCAGGATCAAGACTGCCAGTGTCTGACCACTCCTAGAATAGAGCCGCTGGGAAAGAGACCCTACCTGTAGGTCTCGATTTTCTGCGGGAGTACAGAGGTGTGAGGAGGATAATCCTGGTTAAAACAGCATGGACACTTCTTCTTCTTCTTCTTCTTCTTTTTTTTTTTAATGTATTTCATACAGATTCTCAGTATGCAGTCTTCCCAGTGCTGGGATTGGAGGCATGTGCCACCATGTCCAAACTCCGTTGCCGCGCAGTGTGTCCAGGGGTGGGGCCAGCACAGCATGTATTGCTGGGGATTGAACTCCAGTCCCTGCGCTTGCCTAAACAGCTGCTTACTCTGCTGAGCTATCTTACCGGCCTAGCATGGACACTTCTGTTCATGTTGGAGTTTAGTAGACTTTCTTGACTGGGTGCTCCTTCATTTGCTAGAAGTGTATGACACAATCCCATGGGACCATTTCCAAAAATTTTGTGTGTGTGCATGTTTTGAGACAGTGCCTCACCGTGTAGTGCAGGCTGGCCTTGAACTCCTGGGGATCTTCCTACCTCAACATCCCAAGTACTGAGATTATAGGCATGCACCACCATTCCTGGCTCCAAAGACTTCTAAATGGTTGACTTTTTATAATTTTCTCCAGTTTTACTGAGAAGCAGATTTGAGAGAGTTCCTCACATTGCTGTTACTATAATAAACCTAAGATTTATGCTTCTTAGGACAGAAAAATTATAGCAAATGGAATTATATGTACCCGTACAGTAGACAGATTGTTTTTAAAAACTTTGCTTTTTGCTTCTTGTATAAAAAATAGTACTAGTTTAATGAGACTTATTTTTTTTTTGTGCAAGGTCTCACTCTGCAGCTCAGATTTATAATGATCCTCCTGTTTTCAGCCTCCCTAGTGTGGGGATTACAGGCGTGTACCACCACTCCCGGACTCCATCGCTGGCTCAGTGCACCCAGCGCCAGCAAGGCGTACAGTGCCAGGGATTGAACCCTGGTCCCTGTGCTTGCCTAAGCAAGCACCTGGTCCACTGAGCTATCTTTCCAGCCTAATGAGACTTATTTTAGAGAAGGATGGAATGAGGACCAGAGTAAAATACTGTTCTTTTTCTTTTTTTCTATAAATAGGTGGTGAAACTGATGTTCCACTTAGCTATTACATTTGTGCGCTACATGTTTTATTAATTTTGGAATCTAGGTCAGAATACCAGTCCAAAGATTTTTGTGGCCAGTGGAATTTGCCAGATATGGAGAAAGAATACACAGTGGTGAAGAAATCTTTTTTTTTGCATTCTACAAATTCAAGATTATGAAAAATGTGTCTTGACTTGGTAATTTCAGTTTATAGCAAGAAATCAGCCACATTTGGGGGGCAGGTACCAGGAATCAGATTCACGACCTCACACTTGCCAGGCAGGTACTATGTCACTGGACTTATCCCCACCCTCAGCCACATTTTAAATTTTTATTTATTCATTTGGTACAGGGTCTCACAGTGCAGCTCAGACTGATAGTGACCCTCCTGTCTCAGCCTCCCCAGCACTGGGATTATATGTGTGCCTCACCACACTAGGTTTCAGGCCCAGCATAACACATGGTACTGGGGATTGAATTTAGGACCTTGCGTTTGCCAAGCATGTGCTTAAGACCACCAAGCTATCTCCTCAGCTCCCCTTGGCCACATTTTAAAAGGAATACGGTTAGGAATAAGTAAGCTCAGTTCTAGGCTTAAGAATTTAGGACATATGAATAAAAATTAATACTTTGTAACTATTTTTAGTTATGGTGAATTCGTTTGACCCATCTTAACAAGTGAGAAAACTGTTATAACCTTAAATTAATAGCTCTTTTACTGGTATAATTAAGAATGCTTTTAACTAATGTTTCTACCTGAAGTTATTTCTGTTATGTTTTAAGTGGTGTAGATAGTACTAAGAAGACAGAAAAGGCACTTTACTCAGGAAATTTCCCCCCTGAAAAGATAATATGACAGTTTAAAATTTATTTCATAGCCAGGCACAGTGATGCTTGCCTCTCATCCCAGTGAGGCAGGAGGATTGCCGTGAATTGAGGAGAGTCTGGGCCACATAGTGCAAGGCCAGTCTAAATTACATAGCGAGACTCTGTCTCAAAAAAAACCCCAAAACAAGTTTTATTTCATAATGAGTAGGGTGGATGGGTACGTAGTCTTTGCAGATAGTAGAAAGCCAAGTCTCCATATTCAAGTCAAGCCAAACTACAACTTTAAAATAACTTGATGTTGAAAAAAAATTGTGTTTTTTACTAAGACAATCTGAAAGTTAATTTTGCTTTTAGATTGGAAAATGGAGTTTATGCTTTTGTTAAAGAAACTGGAACTGACTGATTTAAAATGTGCTTATTTGGTACAGTGGTACATTGGTTTAATAACGCTTTTTGCAAATGATTTGGTTGACAAACAGAAGTGTACAGCAAAATTTTGTTTTTGTTTGCAAAATGTGCATCGGGTTTCAAACACAACTGCAGCCATCTTTCCTACACAATCGTAGATGTGGCCGTAAGTTCATGAACCAACGTGCCCTCTATTTGGAAACAGTTTACTTTTTTTAAAAGTCTTGGGGTTTTTTTGCAGAAATAGATTATAGGTATGGTTTGTTGTTTATTGATAATGTCTTAGCCAGATTCTTGTTCCCCCTAAGTTTCTCTGTCCATTTCAAATAACATAGCATTCAAATGTTTTATTAAAAAGTAGGGCTGGTGAGATAGCTCAGTGGACTAAGCACCTGCTTAGGCAAGCATAGGGACTGAGATTTGATCCCCGGCACTACATGCTGTGACAGTCCTGCCCCTGGGCGCATTGAATCAGCCACCGAGCCTGTGTATGGATCACTAGGAGTCTGACCTGCATAATGAGACCCTGTACCAAATACATAAAAAAATAAAAAATAGGAAGAAACTCTGTACTGAAGCAAAAGTCTCTTACTGATGAAACTATATTGTTCTCTAATACAGATTACTGCAGTAAAAGTTTGATTAGTCCTGAAATCTTAAGAACCATGCTATTGGGGCTGGTGAGATGGCTCAGTGGTCTAAAGCACCTACTTAGAACAAGCTAAGCTAAACAAAAGTACAGGGACCGCGGCTCAATCCCC